CGGAATTCGTCTAAAACATTCTTTTCACTCGTCCTTATCCTAAGTTGTTTCGGGGCACCTCTCATGATAATGACATAGCAAGTGCTGTAATTTGTAAGTTCTATCCGAATATCATTCTAATAAAAAAGCTCAAGAAAATGAAACTTGTCAAGATAGGTATTATTGTCAATAGAATGAGGAAAGGCCTCCTTTTAAATTTTTTATCTTACTCAAATCAAACTTATCCTTTGAAAACCAATTTTGAGCTTTCTACTCCTTTCATAAAAATAGGACTAGGATCACCCCTCACACTCGGGAGGCAAAAAAAAAAAAGACTCGGAATAGAATTTGAAAAGCATATCACCAAAAGGCTTATTTTCTAAAGATCTCAAACTCAAAAAAAAGGGAGTCACCACCATAGAAATTTGATTATGGTCTTCAAAAAAAAAGAAAAAGAAGAAGAAGAAGAAGATTATTACAAACAATCCCCACTATATTAGAGGAAAAGTGACTCACTTCACATTTCAAGATCAAGTCGATGAAATCATGGTGAAACAGGCCTTCAATCAAAATCCGAGTAAAAAAAAAAAAAGTAATAATAATAAAAAAGAGAGAAAAAGAAAAAGAAAAAGTGATCCTACGTCGAGAGAACCCCGAAACACGTTTTGAGCCTATTTTGCCCATTTTTTAGAAAACCATGCCCTAGCCTGCATTACGTACCAATAAAAGTCCTTTCTAACTTGAGGCGAATTATCAATCGGATAAGTATCATATTCACGAGCATCTATGAAGGAATTATATTGAAAACGAGATAGTCAAAATGAAAACATAAGCTATTCGGAATCATGGTTGGTGCCAAAGGATACTTGGGGGCAAACAATACCTTTTATTCTTGAACCCCGATTTGGTGTATCATTTAAACATCGCATTAGTGGACACAAAAAAAACAAAAAAAAAAGAAAGTAACGTTTGCATGACGAGTCCATGAGGGGTCGACAAGTTTGGTCCTAACCTTAAATCCAAAAGCTCGATTGAAATCTACATAGCTTTTCCTATGAAGGAAGAAACTTACAAAATCATCAAACGTTTCGAAAGGCATATAGTATTCCAAATTGCATAGGAGATTACTAAAGCAAAAGGATTCCGACACCATATCATCAAAGGCGAGCGGTCGATCGATAGACGCTTATATTTGGGAATGACCATTGCCATCAAAGGATAAATACATCTATTTTACTCAAAATAAAACTCGAAATGATTGATAAATCCAAGGTTACGAGGAAGATGAGACACGGACGAGGGGCAAGGCGGCAGTACTCAAATCATATATAACCAATTAGTTACGAAAAGGAATGGGGTAGCTTGAAAGAGAAGAGTCAAAAGGGGAACTTGAGTGGAGTGACCTACGTTCTTACAGGTATCTCAATTAACCATCATGCTAAGTCGTATTTCAAGTACATCGTGGTCTCAACAAAAAGAGAAAGGGAAAAAGCTAGGCTTTCCATAAATGCTCGTCAAGTAAGGTCATCTCAAAACGAACCATCGCCCGAGGGCGACACCCAAAGTCAAACGATCGGCTTTAGGTAAGGGCGATTAACTCAAATCGTCACGATGGGTAAAGTTGCTCGCATCGCATATTTAATTTTCGTGGCGAGCCGCCCTTCAATTTGGCCACGCATTGCATATTTAATTTTCGGGGCGGTGCCGTCCTTCAATTTGGCCACGTATCGCATATTTTATTTTCGGGACGAGCCGTCCTACAATTTGACCCCGCATTGCATATTTAATTTTCGGGACGAGCCGCCCTTCAATTTGGCCACGTATCGCATATTTAATTTTCGTGGCGAGTGCCGTCCTACAATTTGACCACGCATTGCATATTTAATTTTCGAGGCGTGCCGCCCTTCAATTTAGCTATCCCATTGTCATTTTACTCGTTGATTTTAATCATATATATAAAATTAAAAAAAAAATCTTTATAAGCTTATTAAACAAAGTCATTGAAAAGACACCTTTTTCACACGACTTTGCATCATAAGCATTGTAAAGAGAGGCAACTCGTCATAACAAAAAAAAATGAAAACATAAAAAAATTATAATAATAGCTTTTTGAAATGTTTTATTTCTTTATTTCTAGTTTATTTCATTTTATTTTTATTTTTATTTTATTTTATTTTTGGAAAAAAAAGAAAAAAAGAGAGAAAAAAATATATACAAAATTTTCAAGGGCATAATTGAATCGGTTAAAGAAATTCAATAACCGAATTGCTATTTGTGGGGACCAAATCGAAAAAAATATTCCTTACATGATCGAAATTGCGCCAAATAGGCATGATTGCAAATAACTAAAATTTCCGAGGACCAAAGTGGAAGCTCGGAGTGAATGACGGGACTAAAGTTGAACGAATGACATATCGTTCACTCTAGCCTGAATTTCACTCCCGATTTCTTCCAAAATTGGATTGAAAGTTATCCTAATCCTCTAACCGTTTTTGGATTTCTTCGAATTTGATTTATCCCGATTATTTAGTTAATCAAATTCGAAATCAATAACAGGATTTTGAGTTCAAATAGGTTAGGTAAAAATCTGAATTTGAAAGTGTTTGAGTTGGAGTAGAATTCAAATGGGAGTGCCTATAAAAGAGGTTAGAATTGAAGGCTAAGGGAGGTTTTTTTTTGGGGGAGGAAAAGGAGTGGAGAAAAGAAAAAAAGAGGATAGAGGAACAAATCTGGGTTTGAAAGAGAGTTAAAAGGAGAGAAAACGTAAAATTTGAGAGACTTTTTTTTTTGTTTGGCTCCTACTTTTTTCTAGGAATTTTTCAGGCGTGGGTTTGATGTTCATCACAATTTTGGGTTCGTGTTTTTCATTTTCCGGGTAAATTGAAGGGGATTTTGCTTTAGTTTGTTTAAGATTGTGGTTTAGCGGTTAGGGAGAAAACAAATCAAAAGTGAAAGATTGAAGATCGCGAAATTTCAGCATCGTTGGGTTTCCGGGTTCGTTGCATTTTCCGGGCATTCGTTCTTGGTGTTCATCCGTTTATGGGTTTTCCAACGGCTTCAATAGGCAAATCAGCTTTGATTCTTGGGTCCGGACATTAACCACATCGCCCAAACTTGCCACGAACAACTAATCTTCTTGAATTCGACCCCGGTATTCATCAACACGAACAATTCAGCAACAATAACGCAAGGTGGAGTGTTCTCATTCAAAATTAATCAAACCTGCAAAATTGACGAGCGATAACGAACAACGAGTCCAAATATTGTCCTTCACTCCTTCGGTTTTCGCACGGGTATCTTAGGCCAACTATATTCCATTTCTAATTAGTGCTTAGGTTCTTGTTAAGTAGAAGGTAGATTCAAAATAGAGAGAGAAACGAAAAAAATATGAACATGAGAGAGAGGAAGTCGAATTAAAGAGAAAGGGATTTTGATCGAAAATAAAAAGGAAATGGTGATTGGGTTGCGTTTCGGGCCTTAGCCTAGTTCGGTGTAAAAAAAAAAAGGAAAAAGAAACGGGGATTGGGCTTGCACTAATAAAGACTATTTTTGGGCTTAAAAAAAATGGAAAGAAGGCGAAACTGGTTTTAGTCCGACTTCGCCCCCACTCTTCTCCACGGAAAATAAATAAATAAAAGAACCATTTGGAAGCTGGAACTAATCCAGACTTCGCCAAAAAAATAGAAAAATAATATATATATATTAAAAAGAAAAAGAAAAAAAAGAAAAAGAAAATTGGAGCGTTGGGCCAATGGAATTAAAAAAAAAAAGATTTCTTTGGATATTTGTGATTTTTGTTTATTATTATATACTCTTGTTGTATTTGTTCTTTATTACTTCGCATTAATTTAGATTCACTATTTTAATCATTGTTTGTTTATTTATTTATTTAATTAGCTTTAAAATTTTGGCAATTTGTTTTTGTTTCCAGTAATTAGGTTAGATAATTATTTGATAAAAGAATTATCAAGTCTCCTGAATTTTTTTAGGGACTTATAAATTTTTTATGAACAAAATAAAAAAATATACAATAAAAATTCTCAACGAAGTTTCCTATCTAATAGGGACTCGTCGTTACCAAAAATCATTTAATGATCGGGATGTTCTTTGACACACCGGTTGTATCAAGGCTTTAAGTGGATCCGATGTTTGAACCGACGTGTCGCCCGATGAAGGGGACCGACGATCGCTTCAATACGATGCCACGCTCAAAACTAAAAATCAAATTTTGCTAAAATAATTGTTTAAAAATTAGAAAACAAATTGGCATAAATGAACAATGTAGGAGATAAATTTAGGACTAGAACAAGATGTGGTACCTTTCTTCGGAAATGGCACTTTTAGGGTGAATAATTATCTTCCTAAAAGTATAATCAACTCGCTTACCATAGAATCTCTAGACCGAGTGTTATTTTTAGGTTCCTAGTTCCTTAATACTAGGTGGCGACTCCAAAGCTTCGTAAATAAACTTGTAAATATTAATCACATTCGGCAAATTTTAATTTTTGGAGTCCCGTCTGATGTCGGGTAACTACAATAGTGATTATTTATTTACTTATAAATAATTAATGACCCGTGTGATATATATATATATATATATATATAGTCCCATATATTTGGCCATGCAAATACTTTCTCCCCCATCAAGCTATTCTTAATCCCTCACGAGGCCCATTTTTATTAAGGAATTCTGCAAACCAATTTGCTGAGGCCCTCGATTTTCTTTCCAAATTAGATGTACGGTCTATGTAGATCAAACCGAATCCTATGGTTTCTGTAAATTCAAAGTTGTCGGCATAAGACCATGCAAAATAACCTTTGACTTGAACTTCATGGTTGCTGCCAAAATTAGTTCAAACGTTAGCAGTTTGTTCTAATATATATATAAACAATTATTTAAAGCCTAACGTTTTCAGTCGAAGGCAGATTTTAAGTGCATGCATGCTTTACTCTAATTAAAGACAAGGAAGCAAGAGAAAGAAATTACTGGAAAATAAAATGGCAATGGGTAAACTCATTACTCACTTGATAGATGCTAGAACATTCCTATCAAAATCAAAGATGGCTTTGTCTTTTGACTGTTCATCTGTGGGCATGGCTTCACTGTAGCCTGAAGAGACGATGAATGTAGAATAAAGAATTAATGAATTTGACCATTAAGATTATGACTAGATTCAATTATAATGTGATTTTTTTTTAATAGCATTTTCAGTGATGTAAGTTATTGGATTCATGTATGTATCTTTGACGTGATTCAAAAGTTTCTGTATCCCCTCTGGATAGACATATTGCCATGATGCACCAGCCTGCAATTTATGATAAAATTATTAATTGGTTTCAATTCTTTAAAAATATATTTTGTAAATTTGCATTATTTGCAGCAAACCTTTGGACCGATGGGGATGTTATCTCGTTCTCCTGAAAAGTATTTAAAAAAAAGGGGGGTAAATTTAACCTCATTTGAAATATCATTTTTTAAGTAAAATGTAATCCAAAAATAATAATAATAATAATAATAATAAAAGATTTACTACCCTAGTCAAGACTTCTCTTACTTCGAGAGCTTAAAACAAAAATTTTGTTTTATACGTTTTCGACAACAAAAATGAAGATCTAATCTGACAAATCTATCTTGTCACTTTAGCCTTAAAAATTGTCACATTAGCGAGTCTAACAAAAAATACATCGTTTCTCAGCTACGTGGCAGTATAGAATCAATTATTTCCTCTTTTTCTTTTTTTCATGTTCTTTTATTTTGAAAGTATTATATATTATCATTACATTTCATGAGTTTACCTATAACATATATAGCAATTAGAATCTGTTCCATATCTTCGATGTTCTGGATCGGAAGAGTTTACATTTGCTGCATCATATGCATCATATGCAGTGTAGTAATTTAATCCAACAAAGTCCAATGATCCTTTTAGAACCATAGGTTCCAGTGGAGAGAATTTTGATAATCTATCTTGAACCAATTCACGCATATTGCTCCGATAGTCACCATGTGTTATGGGATTCAAGAACCTAGAAACATGTAAAAATTCAGCATACACATAATTATATATGTAGAAGGAATTTAAGAAAATACATACCAACCAAGCATGAAATCAAGAGATCTTTTGGCCGCATCGTGATCTTCCGTGCGATGTGAGTAAGGTTCATACCAACGGGCATTGAGCGTTATCCCAATCTTGCCATTCTGAGATGCCTACGTTGTCAATATAGAAAAAGATTCATACATAAAAATATGTAATTATAATATTCTACACAATCCATTATATTCATTAATAGTAAATCATCCTACGATCCCATTTGACAATAAATGGAGGACAATGTGTCAAAAAGTAATAACTTTTCATGGAAAACTAACGCCAAGGATTCAATATTTAGCTTTTGGCATGGTAAAACATACGAGAATATTTGTAAATTATTTGATATTTAGTGTCTTCGAATTTTTGTATTTTTATATTTATAAGCTAGTTTTTAACTGTTTTTAGGCTCTTAATTGTTAAATTATATATCTCAGCAGAATTTTACAATGTTTATGTAATGAGTTTTTTTATTTTTTTTCCCAGCTTATAAATAGGCTTGTAAAGGGAAAAACTGGACGGTCTCCATCTCTTATCAATCAATAATACTTTTTTTTTTTTAGATTCCCTATGTAAGTTCTAAACGCCTAATCGTGTATTCATCTTCCTAACCCGATTTATGTGAATTAAATAGCAGTTTACTCTATCTATTAAATGTTTGTATTTAGTGTATACCTGATATTTTTCCCAATATAATTAACTACGACGGTGTTGGAACATATCTCATATTGAATAGTTAAATCAATAATAAATAATATATAAAATTGAGAAGGGGTCATCCATCATAAAGCTTAAGTCTTTTAGATAAAACTCAATCTCAATTATCTAACTCTATATAGTATCGAGCTCGAAAGAGGCCTAACGGCCAAGTAAAAATCCCGGAGTCTAAGTCACTTGACGTAATATATCCCACATTGAATAGTTAAACCAATAATATATAAAGTTGAGAAGCTTAAGTTTTTTGGATGAAATTTAATTTCCACTACCTAACTCTATAGACAGTATGAGAAATGAAGATATTATGGGCAACTATGTAAGGCTCAGTGGCAGAGTTTCCTTTATTGCAGTACTTTTCATCGACCCATTTAGAGCATCGGCCTGGCGCAAAGTGACCTGAATCATAGCCATCGTTAGTGTACTTCTGGGGCTCGTTCAAGGTAATCCAATGCTTTACTCGGTCACCAAATTCCTGGAAGCAAAGCTCAGCAAAATCTCGGAAATCGCTCCTATAAATTAGAAGAAAAAGAAATTCTTTGTCAGAATTTCATTGTCAACTGTTTGTCAATCATTAAAAAAGTTTGATATATACAAATGATGTTGGAACACAATATGTTATAACAAGATTATTACTTACACAATATTATCACTTAGAAAGCTACCATACTTGTCTTCAAGCGCTTGAGGAGTATCCCAATGAAAGATGGTTACAAAAGGCTGTAAACCTGTTTATTAAAGCATAAAATATGAGAGGGTTTCAGACAATAACTTTTCAAATCAAATTCACACGGATCAAATCAAGAAGTGTCTTTTTTTTAAAGAAAAAAAAATCCTAGCTATTAGCCATGCAAGTAATTTTTTGATCCAAATTGCTGAACAAATTATTTTGAATATTCTAGAAGCCAACATGACTGACAACAAAAATTTTAATATTTCTAAGACCGGGAGAAAATTTAACCTTTTGCGATCGATGACCTTGTTGTAAAACTTAATTCCATCTTCGTTCACTTCTTCACTTACTCTCCCACCTCAATATCATAAGAGTAAAAAAATTATCAACAAATAAATGAATAAACCCATTCACTATTCTAATTTCTCAAGAATACGTACTGGGAATTACTCTGTACCAGGAGATAGAGAATCTAAAAGCATCCATATTCATATCCCTTATTACTTGAAGATCACTCTGTCACAGTAGGCACATTCACATTCACATTCAGTATTAGAAGTATAAATATGTACATATATAAGTTGTTATGAGGAATAAAAATGTTAAAAGTAAATTAATTTTAGATATATTAGATTTTAATAAAATTAAGTTTTTATTGTGTTTCTAAAACCAACAGTACTTAGTCTATTTTAGTATAATTTTAATTAAAAAAAACTTATTAAGAGACAGCATTCTAATATCTTAAAACTTCAAATAGCACAATTGCGTAGGTTTTAAAACTACGTGAGTATCATTACGCTTTGTATCACTTTTGTGAATTATTTAAATTGATTTTTGATAGACAATAAAATTCCTAAGCATACTTTGTTTAAAAAAAAAAAAAAAAAATTGACTTAAACTATAAAAAATAAAATTTTTTTAATCCGATTAAAAAACCTTTGCTTTCATAAAGTACTTAAACTATTTAATAATATCATTTCTATTCCAGGAAAAAAATATTATGTTTAGGAAAACATGTCTTTAATCTGCTTATTTTTATCATTGCTTATTTAGAAAAAATAAATTTAGATAATGTTTCAAATTAAATAAAAGTCAGTTTTTCATAAGTACTCATGCTAAAGGCAACCTAAATTCCATGATCATCAAATTGATACCTCGTAGCGATTGTAGAAATCAATTCCCATGTCTCCAGTGTTGCCATCAGCTATCCTTTCTGAATGTTTTCATTAAAAAAAAAAAAATGATTGATGTAAAGTATATACATGAACTGTTATTGTCTAATGGTTTCCCATGTCTCCAGTGTTGTCATCAGCTATCCTTTCTATTGTACTTTAGTCATTAAAAATTTATGCAAAGTATATACATGAACTGTTATTGTCTAATGGTTTCCATGCCATTTATTATTTATTTAATGTTTAAGATGGGTATTTACCTCTATTATCTGCTGGGTTCTTGTTATTAATTTTCTCATGGCCCAAGTGATCCGTTCCATGTTTTTAAATCCTTTTAATCTATGAAGCAATGATTAAGAAACGTATATGAATATGATATGAATGGTGCCATATGTCAATTCTTTAATATATAGGATGATATATTAATTTATAATATGATAAATGTATTTTAGTCTCGATAAAGGTTCTATAATAAGATAAAGTATTTTGACCACATCCCAGGTACTAAGTCATATCTCCAAGTTTCCTTGCTTGCTGCTTTGCTCTTAGTTTCCTTTTAATGTATATCTTCTCACATTAATAAAATTTTGATCTCATTCATTGGAAGAGAAAACAAAAAAAAAACATATCCCCATGTACGGTGTCTTTCTTGAATATCCTTTCGAATAAGTTAACATATCCATATAAAATTGGATTTATTATATATATATATATATATATATATATATATATATATATATATATATATATATATATGTATGTATATATATATATATATATATAAAATTTTGATCTCATTCATTGGAAGAAAAAAAAAAAAACATATCCCCATGTACGGTGTCTTTCTTGAATATGCTTTCGAATAAGTTAACATATCCATATAAAATTTGGATATATATATGTGTGTGTGAGAGTGAGAGAGAGAGAGAGAGAATCATTTCATACATAATTTATATTATTTTTGAAAGTGGAGTAACAAGCTGCAATTGCAGAGAAACAAAGAAGCTAAAACAGAGAGGAAAACAGAGCAACTTCGCCTCTCCTTTTTTATTCAATAATCTGTTACAACTTGTTCACCATAAAGGAATTTATCATCTATTTTTATATACCAACTAAGGAGCAGGAGAAGAAGAGAGTGTAGCTCTAATATGTTACAAAGAAAACTAAAACAAACTAACTGAAAAGAAAACCAACTTTGAAACAACTGTAGCAAGAGAATATAGCCGTTAGAATGCTAAAAGACAGAAACGCCCTTCTTCTCTATTTCTAACATGCCCTCTCAAGAGGAGCATGGATGTTGAGCATGCTCATCTTGCTCAAGAGAAATTGGAAGTGGGCTGGTTGCAAAGGCTTGGTAAAGAAATCTACAACCTAAAAAACAGAAGAAACATGCTAAAGAATGATAAGCCCAGCGAATAACCTTTTCCCGTATGAAATGGCAATCCATTTCAACATGTTTTGTGCGCTCGTGAAAAACTAGATTCTTGCTAATATGATTAGTGGACTGATTATCACATTTAAGTAACACACCCGGCTTGTGATCAATTCCCAAATCATGAAGCAAAGTAAGTAACCAAACTACTTCACAACACCCGGAGGACATAGCTACGTACTCGCTTCGAGCTGAACTACGTAGAACCGAGACTGTTTCTTGGATTTCCATATAATAAGCGAGTCATTAAGAAAAACACGGTAGCTCGTGGACTGATCTTTGTGTGTCCTTGCAGTCGGCCCGGTCGCTATCGATGTAGGTTGTCAATGCGATAGCAGACTTGGAGGAGAAGAACAAACCATGGCCAGCTGATCCTTTCAAGTATTTCAAAACATGAAATGTTGCTTGTAAATAAGTATCGACTTGGTTTATTCATGTTGTGGGAAAGGACTCGTGTAGCATATGAGATATCCGGCCTACTAAAAGTCGGATACAATAATTTGCCTACCAATTGCCGATAAACCATAAGGTCTTCAAGAAAGCCGGACTCAACTTGTAGTAGCTTAGTGTTAGGATCAATGGGGGTAGACATTGGCTTTGCCCCCAACAATCCATGCTCGACTATCAAATCCAAGACATATTTCCTTTGACATAAGAAAATGCCAACGGAGGAATGAGCAACCTCAATGCCAAGGAAGAATTTAAGTTTCCCTAAATCCTTCATCTTAAACTAGGAGTGCAAGTACTTTTTACAATCTTCAAGAGCAACACTATCATTGTTTGCAATCACTATATAATCAACATAAACTAGCAATGCAAGAAAAACATTAGAGGAGACCTATTTAACAAAGAGTGAATAGTACGCCTTGGACTAGGAGAAGCCAAATGACGAGTAAGGCGGATGTGAGTTTAGAATTCCATTGCCTTGAAGCTTGTTTCGGACCATATAGTGACTTAAGTAGCTTGCAAATTAGATTTGTGTATGCACCCTTAACTTGATGCCCGAGTGGGAGATCCATGTAAACAATTTCATCCAAATCTCCATTAAGAAACGCATAATTGACATCCATTTGAGAAAGATGCCGACACTGAACGGTACAGTAAGAGCCAAAAACACACGAACGGTTGTTTGCTTCACCACAAGACTGAAAGTTTCCTAAAAATCATACCCAGTGCCTCGATTATAACCCTTGGCCACTAGCCTAACCTTGTATCTATCAATAGAGCCATCGGCTAAAAGCTTAAGCTTATAAACCTATTTACATCTAGTAGTGTGTTGTGTAGGAGGAAGGTCAACTATTGTCCAAGTATTGGTGTGATCAAGAGCATCAAGTTCAGCCTTAATGGCTTGTTGCCAATGAACAGATTGCATAGCTTGGTGATATGTTTGTGGTTTACTAAGTTGAGAAATAGAAGCAACAAAAGAAGTACGTGCGGGTGATAAATATACGGTGAAAATATAATGCTTGAATAGGAAAAACGGTAGAAAAACAAGTAGAAGATGAGTGAGAGAGAGTATAATCATTCAAATAACTATGTGGCTTATTAATTCTAGAGCTTCATCCGATAGGTTAAATATGAGTAGGTTGGTCCGATGAATCCGTTGGTGAAGTGTCAAAGGCGGAATCGAATTAGAAAGCACCACTCGAATCAAGGTGATTAAGTGTAGGTTGGGAATGTGTGGATGTGGAATATGTAGGGGAAGTTTGAGGAATCACATTAGGGATATCATGAAAAGTGTGAGGAGATATAATGTTGGGAATTGCGGTGTCTAGATGGAGAACAAGTAGGAGGGAAAGGAAAAATATGCTCATGAAAAGTAAAATCTCTAGAGACAAACACAAACTTGGAACTCGGATCATATAATTTGTCGCTATACGACGTCGGAAGGGACTCTTAAAAATTAAAATCTAAAGGTGTTAATTGTTATTTACAAAATTATTTACAAGTTTGGAGTTGCCACCCGGTATTGAAGGAACTAGGAACCTAAAATAGGCACTCGGTTTAGGGATTCTAAGGCAAAGAGTTGGTTACACTTTTAGGAAGTTATTTAATCACCCAAAAGTGCAATTTTCAAAAAAAGGTACCATATGCGATTTAATTATAAACTCATCTCCTAAAATATCAAATTATTTTCCGATTTCTAAACTCCTATTTTTTTTAAAGCCAAATTGAATTTTTAATTTTTGGACGTGGCATCATATTGAAATGATCATCGGTCCCTTCATCGAGCGACACATCATTTCAAATATGGGATCCACTATAAGCCTTGACACAACCGATGTGTCGGAGGACATCCCGATTAAAAAGTGATTTTTGGTGACGTCGGTCCCTATCAATTAGGAGACTTTGTCGAAAATTTTAGATATTCTTTTTGGTGACGTCGATCCCTATCTAATAGGAGACTTCGTCGAAATTATTATTATTATTATTATTATTATTATTTTTGGTGGTGTTAGTCCCTACCAAGTAGGAGACTTCGTAAAAAATTTTAGATATTTTTTTAGTGACGTTAGTCTCTATCAAATAGGAGACTTCATAAAAAAATTTATAATTTTATCTAACAAAAAAAAAGGACATTGAAGTAACAATTCTAAATTAATATAAGAAAAAGCATCAAGGAATAAAATAAACAAGTTAGAAAAAAAAGTAAAAAAAAAAGATAGATAGATAAATAAATAAAATCAAAAAAAGAAATCATCCTAGACTTAATCCATTAACCCACAACTTATTTTTTCATACCCATTCCCTTTTTTCTTTTTCTTTCTTATTTTTTTTCTTCCCTAATTCTATTTTTTTTACCTTTTTTTATTACCCTTTTTTATTTTTATTTTTGAGAGAGGGTTGGACTTCCAGCCTCTCTTGCTTTTTTCTTTTCTTTTTTTTTCTTTTTGGGTAGAGGCACGGGCCGAACCCAATCCAGCCCTTTTTGTTATTTTTTTTTAAAAACGTGTGAGGTGAGATTGGTCAGTCCAACCCCCTTCCATTTTTCCTCGAGTCGGGCCAAAGCCCGAAACAAACCCAACATAAACATCTCTTGAGATTTCGATCAAAACATGGATTTTAAACCACTTCACCCTTTCTCTCTTGTTCTTCGGCTTCATCAATGCTTCAAATTTCCAGGAAAGTGAAGATTCATCCTCAATTAAAAGACTAAATCATGCAAACCAACACCTAAATCACAAACGAAATAACAAATAAACCATTAAAGATAACAAACAAATAAAAATCAAAATAAAAGAATCAAATGCTAGAAGTCGACATGAGAAGAAAATGCAACTCGAAGAACACCTAGAAAAATATAAGAATTGACGAACTCAAAACGAGAATTTCCCATGATTTTCAACTATTGACCCTCGATTTATTTTTTATTACACTCAAATAACAATAATCTTCTTCGAAATTGCCCAAAAAGTCACTTTCAATTGACCCAAAACGAAGAATGCCGACCTAGAACGAAGAACACCAACCCGGAAAAACAAGAATGAATTTAAACGGTTGCCCGTAAATTCACAAGAGAAAACTCGAAGTGGAAGAATTGAACCCCAAGATTTAATAAAGGTAATTGAGAAACACTTGA